ACTATCCAACCCCTCCCCCCACCTAAAAGAAGCACAGATGTTTACACACACACACAAAACACCACATTTTATAAAGAGGTTTCTCTTGAATAATTTGTTTTTTTAACAAATGAGTTTCATGGGTACAGTGGAAATGTCCCTAACAACTGTGAGAGTCCTTAAAGTGCATCTTATCTAGCCCTACACCTTGTGAGCCATTGCAGTCTAAGGCCATGTCTGCATCAGAGAGCTTACCGATGCAGCTGTAAGATCTCCCGCGTAGCTGCTCTATGCCGATGGAATGGGAGAGAGTTCTCCTGTCAACACAATAAACCACCCCTCCATGAGCGGCATAGGTGCTGGAACTAGGGGTGCTGATGCACCCCCTGGCTTGAAGGGGATTCCATCATATACAGGGTTTACAGTGTGGTTCTCAGCGCCCCCACTATACAAATTGTTCCAGCGCCCCGAAGAGCGGCGACAGCCATGTCAGACAGCAGAGCATCTCCTGCCGACATAGCACTGTCCACACTGGCGCTTCTGTCAGTGTAATTTATGTCGCTCGGGGGTATTATTTCACCCTGAGCACCATAAGTTATACCAACGAAAGTGGAAGTGTAGACATAGACTCTCAGTTCTGAATTGTGAGGCTATGTTAATGTGTTTTCACCCATTATGAAAAAGGCAGGTGTGTCAATGAATGGCACGTTGTGTTGCCATTTACAGCAGAGCAAAGGGGGAGCAAAATGCTATTAATTCAGAATGGCAACGTTTCACACCCACTTTGCACTGGTCTAAGTGATGGCACAAGGTCTAAGGCAGAGAATCTGGAGCCGGGGGTCATCATTCAACATCTGTGCAAAATGAGTGCAGTACAGGTGTGAAACTGCCATTCTGATTGGTAGCGTTTTACATCCGCTTTGCACCAATGGACATGGAGCGACAAAGTGAAAAACAGGAGAATCAGGCCCCTAGGCCCTTAAATCCATGGATTATTCAATGGCCATGAGTGTCTATGAAAATTCCACTGTTCAGGTCCAGTAAACCTCTTTCCTAAACTGACTAGGACAACCAATCATTCTTTTTCTTCCTGCCCCGAAGGATTCAAAGTATTTGTCCAGTTTATATATTAATGACTAGCAACATTTCAGATGGAAAAGAAAAATGCTGCTTCTGAGTTAGAAAGGCTCTATTCAGAAAAAGAAATACACCCAGATTTCATGCCTCCCAAAACTAAAAATTATTCTTCCAAGCTGCCATGGGCTTTAGCTGACATTTGTCTACTCCTGCCAGATGTAGTTTTAGCTCCAGACTTCAGGTATGTCTACACTATGGGGCCTAAACCAGCATAATTTTGTTGTTGTAGCTATGCTGGAGGAACTTGGTGTTTCTGTTGCTGTAGGAGCACTTCCCTGAATGGTAGCTAGTTCGATGGAAGCATTTTACACGGGGGGTTCAGTCAGCATAGCTAAATTGGTCAGGGGTATGGATTTTTCACACCCCTGACCAATGTAGCTGTGTCAACCAAAATTTTAAGCATTGCCCAGGCCTTAGAAAAACAGTCAAACAATTCACTATTGGTTTATTTACTGCAGGCTAAATTTCTGCACTAAGGGAATTCTGTTATAGAATAGGGATTGACAACCTTTGGCACGCGGCCCGTCAGGGAAATCTGCTGGCGGGCCGGGACGGTTTGTTTACCTGCAGCGTCCGCAGGTTCGGCCGATCACAGCTCCCACTGGCCGCGGTTTGCCGTTCCAGCCCAATGGGGGCTGCACTCCCACTGGCCGCGGTTCGCCGTTCCAGGCCAATGGGGGCTGCGGGAAGCGCAGCCCCCATTGGCCTGGAACGGCAAACCGCGGTCAGTGGGAGCTGCAATCGGCCGAACCTGTGGATGCTGCAGGTAAACAAACCATCCCGGCCCGCCAGCAGATTTCCATGACGAGCCGTGTGCCAAAGGTTGCCGATCCCTGTTATAGAGTTATAAATTCAGGAAGATAATGGTGTATATTAGAAATGTTCAGTCACTCACCTTCTTTAACTATAGTGACGCTTGCAGTGCTATGTTACTTAATGTGGGTATCAGAAAGATCTCATTACACACAAGGCAGATGGTTTATTAGATTCCTTATACTGGAGCCTGGCCAATAGGAGACTCTAGGATGTGTTCGTCTCTCTCATACACAGTTCATCACTTTGTACTCTATTTGGGAAGTTTCATGTAATTTAAGAAGGACAGTTGCTTGAATTAGGTCTCTAGTTTAAGTAAGGGCTTGTCTACACTACCCACCGGATCGGCGGGCAGCGATCGATCCAGCGGGGGATCGATTTATTGCGTCTAATATAGATGCGATAAATCAACCGCTGAGCACTCTCCCATTGACTCCAGTACTCCACCAGAACGAGGAGCACAAGCGGAGTCGATGGGAGAGCGTCAGCTGTAGACTTACCGCAGTGAAGACACCGTGGTAAGTAGACCTAAGTACGTCGACTTCAGCTACGCTATTCATATAGCTGAAGTTGCATGTCTTAGATCGACCCTACGCGGTAGTGTAGACAAGCCCTTAGAGTTTGGTTATCATTCTCTCTTCAGTGTTATGATTCTTTCATCAAGTTTAAGTGTCTCTAGGGGGACTTCTGTGGGAGAATCTAAGAATGGAAACTTCATTTCTATTTTTTCTTCTCCCAGGATTTCTGTAATGGTTATGACCACATGCTGGACTGAAGCTACTGGAGTCAATGGGAGATTTGACCGAGGAAGGACAACAGGTCTAGTCCGTTATCTGGTGTGTGCATACATACATAGTCATCCTTATCACTGATACATTAACTGCACGATTGTGCATATGTAAAATTTATTTTACAAACACTTTTTACTACATTTCTTTCATTTATCAATTTATTTTTCACACAAAGATTGCTTTGCACACTAGCCTTCAATAAGTACGAGGCACCTGAAAAGTTCCAGCTTCTAAACTTCAGCCATTGTTGAGTGGTCCATGTACAAAAAATAAAATAAAAATAATCTTAAATTAAAAAAAAAAGGGGGGGGGGGAAGTATTTTGCCACCATTACATGACTCAAAAATAAGTGAACTTTTTTTTAAATCACCCCTAGAGATTGCAGAACAAGTATGAAAACTTTCACTATAGAACGTAAAGGACACCCTCCGCTTGAAAGAAAAATAAGTCAAATCACATTTCCATCTGAACATTTTGCACCAACAAATGTCACAAGTAACCCCAAAGATTACTAGAACACAGAGATATGCAAATACTTCCTTTTTGTCTTTTGTTTGCTTACTTTGCTCATTGGCAGCACTTTGTGTTCCAGTCAGATTCATGACAGGGGGGTTGGATGGCGAGGAGTACTATCTAATTGTAGCAACAGAGCTGAAACTAAGGTGACCACCTTTGTTGGATGGAAATAAGGGGGGAAAAAAACATGAAAAATAAGGGACGCCGCTTTATTTTAAGGGGCATTTTAGGGAAACACCATTTCTCTTAGCATAGCATGTATTTTTCTCTCAAGTGTACATTTGTACTGCTTCAAGTATACAATGCAATCATCATAAACTTCAATTTAATGTTTAAAGTTGTCAAGGGCCGTCCCTTAAAATAAGGGATGGGTGGTCACCTTGCTGAAAAGGACACAGAAAAAGACACGGTAGCAAAGCAGCAGGCAGGCGTGTGCAGGAAGAAGAAGGGGGGAGAGATGAAAGGCCTTCAGCATGTTTGTGTATTGTGGCTCTTATGCCTACCCAAAAACATTTCTAAACTATAAAACAGGGAGAAGAAAAATCCTTATTGTGACAGATAATTGCAATCCCCTGCAATATCTTTGGGGACCATACTGTATTAAGTTTATGGATCACTGTGGGCTAGGGATTGTATGCAACTCCAGCGGGGAGGGCTACCACAACGCCTCCAGGAACCAAAACCAGCGTGTGTGTGCATGGGGGGGAGGGGATGATTAAGGTGAATCGCTTAGGCTGTAAACCCCTCCAGAGAGGCACTCCTCCGTATGGGAAAGGAAGCTTACATACACTGATTCAAACTAGGTTTTCAGAGACCAACACACACAGAAAGGGCTTTTGGGATACAAAGGGTACATTTGCACTGACACAAGACCTTCTTTCTGATCCAGCAAACGGACAGGACCTTGGATCCTAGGGGAAGCTCAACCCTTGCAAAAGGGTTGGAAAGACTGACACCTTCCAGTGCCCTTGTTGGAGTTGGGGGTGACCTCAGATAAGCATCTGTGTAGTAGGTTCTTTTTATTAGCTGTATGTGTTTTCTCTGTAATGCTTTTACCTTCAGAATAAAGGTGCTTGCTTATTAGAAAGAGAGGTGTGGTGACTTACAACTGCTGTCAAGACACTGGTCATAGCCCCCAGAGTGGAAGCAAAGCCCAGGTGCTGGCTGTTAGGCAGACTGGCTTGCTGGGGATATCACAGTGTAAGGCAGACAGCTGTGCAGCCTTAAAAGCCCTGGTCAGAAGGGAGTGGGACAAGGGTCCCTGCCCAGAGACAGCTGGAGACTGGGAACTCCTGGAGTGGACCACAGAGGGGAAGATACAGGTGCACCACCCTGAAACTGACACACGCGATAATTTTTCTTTTTTTTAAAAACAGAGAATCTGTTTAAAGGATTTTGTTTTAAGTTTAGGACATACTATTGAAAGGAGTCCCTTATCAAAAATTAACTAATTACAAAAAATCAAAGTTGAAAGTGTCCCTTTAATGTTTTCACATCCACATTTGCTTGCCCATATTGCACATCTGGTATATTACATAAAAACCCCACATTAAAATAACGTTATTTAGGTTGCAAGGTCAAGCACTTGGAAGTTAGGAAATGCCAGATTTAAGGTTGCCTGTGAAACTTAAGTTCTGTCACCTTTGTGCGTATGCATTATGATAGAGTTCTTTAATTATATGACAATGTATTATTATTTCCCACATGATCTCCATATATATGGGGTAACACAAATGAGAAGAACTGTTTCTAGAAACCACTTACATTCTTTGGACATTCCCACTTCAAAGCACTTCTGTAGTCTGCAGTACTGGCAGCGATTTCTAGTGACTTTATTAATAACGCAGTTTTTATCTCTGTGACATGTGTAAACCATGTTCTTCTGAATACTTCTGCGGAAAAAACCCTGCAATTAAGCAGAAAAAATAATGAAATAAAATCCCTGGGCTTCACACATAAATCATAGCCAGTCTCCGATTCTTTTAAGTTAATAACATGAGTGCAACATTATGGCTAGATTATGATAACCTTACTGCCCTTATAAACATTAAAAGTTGAATATTCTTTTCTTGCAACATAAAGAGCACCCTTTAATCAAAAAGAAAGGAAACTATTTTACTGTCAGGGTAAAGAACAATGAGGCTCTAGGTTATGTTATAACATCCAGGCTAAAATAAAACAGGTGAGCTTGGGTTTATGGATTTAGTTATAAACACGGTAAACACTGTTCCCGCCTCACTGATTCACTTTAAAATCAAACTCCCTAACCAGTATGGCACACTTTCTTCCAGCCTCAGTTATCCCTTCTCCATTTGTTTTTGGAAGGATTTCTATTTTTATTTTGTGGTTAGAGGTGAAATAACTGTAGAGTGGGCCAAATCCTGAGAGCACTCAGAACCCCCACTGAAATTAACCAGACTGCCACACGTGGAAGATTTCCAGCATCAGGCTGATTATTGATTTGTGAACCTGGACACCTTCCCAAAAATATAAGTGCAAGAGGAATGGGAGAAATGAAAGTTAGGGAGTTAAGGGAAATTGTGTGTGTACTGGGTGAGAAAATATTGGCCAACCTTAAAAACAACAACAAAAAAACAGAACAAGACACAATGCCCTAAGAATTTTTACAGATCAGCCCACAGATATTCAGCAAAAGTATTTCTGTAACTGAGCTCTATTAGAAAGTTTCATATTGCTACTCAAATTTTCAACAGTGTTTCACCATCCAGCAGGATCAAATCTCAGTCAACACTACACCACTGTGTAGGAACACTTGCTGATTCAATATTTGGAGAGGTTTGAGAGGTTTTTAAAATGTGTTCAACAAACCACAGGTGTACACCCTATAGAGCAGCACAATGTTTGATCAAAAGGGATGTAATGATAGTTCTGCATCCATAATTCATTTGTCCCAAGATGCAGTCATTGCAGACTGTATGAAAGGGTTTCTTAATAGCAATTTATAGATATGTAAGTAGATAATTTTATAGTCTTTTAGCTTCTTAACAGCTAGCCATGACTTCCAGGTAGTATCAACTGGGAGGAGGCGGCAGATGAAGGCTAATCATGAATCCCTTGCACCCCCAGAGCTTTTTTGATATCAATGCTATGAAAATCTCTCAATCAGCCAGAAGAATTGAAGAGTGTTTTCTTAATCATGCCCTTTGTGCAATATTTCATGGGCCCTTGTGGAGTCAAAGCCTCCTTGGGGCTAGTTCTTTTGACTGACTTTAGAAGACGTACGGTCAAGTGGTAGAAAACTTTTGTTTCTTTACGTTATCCAACATCACATTACAAAAGCCAAAGAAAAACTTTCCGAACTATTGAGACCCCATTACGGGTGTACTTAAGTCAACACTGGGTGTTCATGCTATGAGTTACACCTATTACTTGAAACCTTTCAAGAGAAAAATAGTACAAACATGTCTGTCTGTTTTATTTACTTGCTAAGGGAAAACATGTGTACCTTAGCTTAATGACTGAACAATAATTATATTTACAACCTAACTCTATTATTTAGATACTTAGACAGCCTTCCACATAGTAGGATCTGAACACCTCACAATTATTCATGCATTTGATCCTCATAATAGCCCTCTGATGGAGAGAAATATCCTCAGTTTTGCCTATGGCACTGGGTAGAATGAAGACCCAGATGTTTAAGTCATTTAGATGTTGCGTTGCTCAGCCTAACTGACCTATATGTCTCCTTTTCAAGAGTGACTTAGGCACTTTGGAGCCCAAGTCAGTTAGGCATTGCAACACTGAGCAGAGGAACAGTCACTTGTCTGGGGAGATTAAGTGATTTGCCCAAGTACAGAGGGTATTTTACCAACTTCCAAATGCAAAAATGATGAACGCAGTGGAATACCACTACAAATCAGTTCACAGCTGGCATGTGTAGCACTGAGCTACCTGTCCTGTTTCCCCAATTTAACATTTTCAGCTTCTGTTGTGCCACGTGACCTGTCCATAGCTCAGTGGCAGTCAACATTTCCCCCGACTCTAGGACATTATGAATGTAAATTGAATCTCTGGTTAAATTTCATCTCAGCTACTAAGGGAACTGTATTGCTTACATCCGTCATACAAACCAAGCAGCAAGTTGCCCTGAATGAACAAACACCACAAGAAGTTTCCAATGCTGCAGCTGAATCTCCCCTCCCCTCAGAAGGAATGAGATACTAGAATAATTTAACAAAACAGTAATCAACATTGCAAGGTGCCATAAAAAAAAAAGAACCAAAAAAGACTGTCCGCTCTTTCTTAAATTGCAAGTTCTTTGGGGCAGGAACTAGATAGCATCTAGTACATTGTGGGCACTGCTGGAATTAAAACAGCCAACAAAATACCCCAACCCTGATAACAGAGGAAACAAAACCCAAAATATATCAGCAGTACATAGGTCATTATAGCCACTTGACACCCATTAACAGGTCACTTGTTCTGATCGTCTTCTCTTTTTCCTCCCTGATGGATTGTAATAAAATCCCAGGTTAAAAGGGTTGCTTAGATCTGGTGGCCTAGCAGAAAGGTTCTCTCACTCCTTAGCAGAGAGATTGTAACCTTACAGCGAAACAGAGCAGGGAGATTCAACTCCAGAAGGGAGAGAA